AAAACAAGAAATAGTATGGTAAAGAATATGAGAAGGTTCAAGTGAGTCCGCTCTCCAAACCATAGTTTTAGTTAGTAAACGTTTTAATGTCATGCTAGAAGTCATTACGTTGCACTGATTATGATAATCCGTATAACCGTAAAACTTTTATTAACTCAAACTCCAGCTCACTTAGGAAATCATCCTTAACATTCATATCCTGACCTCATGTATATGCCACTACCTCTTAAACACAAGTTTTCAAATGAAATCAGATAGACATGTTAGGATGCAGCAGTTATACATCTAGTTCAACAGGAAAGTCATGAAAATTTATGGTCAGAAGGTGTTTTTATGTTGACTTCCTTTAAAGCATTCAAAGAAACTTAAAATCGTGAAGTCCTTTACAACCAGAAAAGGACTACAAAATTCCGACATCATACATGTAAACATCAGATTAGTTGGCAAGAAAAAACAGATAGAGACACGAGTTTTTATATAAACTGATAACGCTGGTTCAGATCTGTGAGGAGATATCAGTTCTCTTGAAGTTGAAGATAACCTTTGCTAACAAGTGCCGACAGGTGCCAAAACTAGATGGGATACTCCATATCGATTGCATACAACCAATTAAAGAGATATTTTATGCTACCATACTACATTTGAGGCTAAAACGATGTTACAATTCTCAAGCGAGATTCAAGGCAGTCATTGATAATGAGCTTAAAAATTCCCTATAACTACAGGTTCAGTCAATTAGAGCATATGCTGGTTTCAGTTTTATGTGAAATAAGTGATATTTTACAGTTGACCTTATGATTCTTTTTATCAACAGGTGAAAATGGCTATCTGCCAACTATGTTTATCGAGGTGATAGATTGCCAATGTATATGAAAAAGTTTGAGAACCTGTTTCAGTACGCTCGACTATTGAGTTCGACGTCTTCTTTTCATCTATGTGTAATCACTTACTTGTGAGGTATGAGATGATGAAATCATCATCGTGGTATTGAGGTTTTTGTTGGACGATGGGATTTAGTTTACCTAAGGTAACGAAATTAACTGCACTATACATTCTTAGTTGATTGGAGGTAATCAGTGGAAAGCCTTGCTTGGCCTAGATTTCGTGCTTGTTTTCACTCGTCAGCAAGGTATGTCTCCAACCTTGAGGGGACTGATGACCCATCTGAGACCACTCATAGCAACGTCGTCGACTTATTGGTAACATTCACCTTCACATGTGAGATTGTCTACATCAGTTTACAATAGAGAATATCTTTTTCCCTTAAATAAGATACTAGTTAAATATTGGTACATATTGAATTGATGGTAGGCCAGTTATTAAACTATAAACTTAAAGACAATGAGGGGCATCTCGTAAATTGACTGGTGATTCCGAGGTTACAGGTAGATTCTATTCATTTTAATCACCTATCACTAGGTATACCAATTATACTTCCCTGAAGCCTTCACAATCTAGGATATTTTTCGTCATACAAGATGAACACATGAAACCAGCTGGCAATGCAACTCGCCCAAGTATTTATACACACTATATAAGGACAGCTAAGAGAGCGGATACTAAGAACACGATTTACAAGTCGATATTCCCCACACAACAGTACATCCTTTTGAGTGTCAAAAATTGACTTTTTCAAGAGTGATCAAAGCCCTTATCATATAAATAGGTAGTAGCGAAACTGTAGTATGCAAAACTACAATTACCGTGTAGTAATAATGTTGGGAATTAAACCACAGAAACTACTTTTGTTATCTTCAAATAGTGTAAGTACTAATAAGCAGAATACAACAGCTACTGATACTTTAAAAGCTGTTACGGTTACTAGCATCACTGAGGCTACTAATCCTAATAAGAATGTTAACAAAATAATGCTGACTTGGATGTCAATGCTAGTAGTATTGTGACCAGACTCACTAATAACACTTCCACTAATAGTATTACTACTTCTGTCGATCTGGATACAATTGTGGTCGTTGACTAAACTTCTCCTCTTCCTGCTCCTCCTCCTGCTCCTCCTGCTCCTCCTCTTCCTCCTCCTCCTCCTCCTCCTCCTCCTCCTCCTACTACTACTACTACTACTACTACTACTACTACTACTAATTGATTCGGCTAGTCTCCCACATCTTGATATCCAAGGGAAACTGGAAACCAGTCAAACAATATGTCACTACGTTTTTCATAGTCAACAAAATAACTTATCTTACTGTAAAGTATTTAAAAAGGATAAATGTATTGACTTTCCTAATTGCATAACTGGAGAAGGTGGAAGACTAACTGTCCTCCGATGATTCCAAAAGCTGCTAACATTTTATCTTCACACAGGCGAAATTGCAAATTCAGACTTTATACGTTTTCATTGCCTATGAAACACATATTTACTAATAGTGTAAAAGAACATTCGTTTACTGAGATATATCGACGGGTGGGAAATAAGATAGTAACCCAAAACATTTATCAACTCTTAATCACTTTTGAATCAGATCTGTTTCCACCGACGCTAGTGCTGATAGACACAGAATCCAGACACAAGGTATCCTTATTATTATCTCCAAGTGCATTATAGCGAGTATAATGCATCACCAAAAGCCTTTTTTAATGGCTCTTGGTTTTTAGATTTGAAGACGAAAGTATTATCATACTCATCATGTGGAAACTGGCTCTTACAGTTGGTGGGCATAAGTCGTCTGCTGTGATCTTAATGATCTCAGTGTAACATTAAACCCAACATTAGACTAGTATTTGGAATAATACACGTAGCCAACTTTAGAGATAAATAATGTGTTCTTGTTTGCAAAAACTGTCGGTATTTAGTAGTCAGGATTACATACTTCACTAACCCAATCAAATGGTAGGATGATTTTGAACTGATTAAGGAGTTCTTTTCCTTAAACATGCGTTGAATGTATGGGATAGGTTAAAATACATACTACTGCTATTTCAATAAACAGCATAAAAGTTCGTCCAGCAGTCTGTTTTTCACATGAATAGAGTGCCGCACTAAATTAGTTAGGCATATCCTAGACAAAGTTTTGCTATTCAAAGTCTATACCGTACGTATTACATTTGAATAACACTATGCAGGCACTATGATACACAGGATACACGATGTTAACCCCTGCTAACTCACAGTCTTTACATTAGTTAAAATCTGTTTTTGCAAAATATAAAAATCAGTGACATGAAGAGAAAACTTTCCACCTGCGAAATTGAACAGATATAAACTATAAGCATCATAGTAGTATAATCAAATTAGTAGACACTCAACTGGGAAACTCGATCAAAAAACTTCAGTCAGCTTTGAGCACCAGAAATCAAATAGCTGTTTCAATAACCCACCGGTGACGAACTAGTTTAGGTAATCTAATACTAGAAGAGATCAGTTGTGGTGTAAGCATTTAAGTTTTAAAGTATTTGACTTCAACACTGAATAAGGACTCAGGTTCGAGTCACAACTTCCTTGATGCTTGCAGATACACTTTGCTGATGAGTTCCAGAAAGTAAAAAGCTGAGGTTAAGCAGGGCTTACTGCTGAGTGACTGCCAATACCTAACTATCATACAAAACACTTGCATCTCGATAACATATGCAATTAAAGCCCATGAATCAAATCTGTATATGAAGGCGGATATTGTGGTTGACTTGAACCTGTCATCGAAGCATTTCAGGGGCAATATAACTTCTCTATAGGCCTGCTTTCGAGGATATCTCTTGTTCTAATTCTCCTGTTCCTTCATTGTCTTTCATATTCAATGATCAATATTTATCTTATATTGACTACACATTACAATATTTCATGGTTCGAATGCCTTTAATGTTCTACCTTAATCAATTATCACATCCTATTACTCGCTTTTCTATTAACGCCAATGTATTTTGACCTTATTCTGTCCCATTTTCACTGCCAGGTTCAACATTCCTCTGAACCTCATATGCCACCAGCTGGTCTTTCGAATCAAAGCACAATTCTAATTTAAGAAATTAGATTGATTTATCCGTAATATATATTTCTTTGAATGTATCATAATGAAATGTATCGACAACAGTTACTTGACAGTTTCGATCGAGGTAATTAGTTTCTACGCACATCAGTTTCATCATTCATTTCATATTTATATCAACAGAACCTCGTCAATTTAGTGCACGTTCAGGCTTCTAATCACATTCACATATAGAAAACATACCATTGAGTTCTGCCAAAATCAAGATGATCTCTCTCCTTTACTTGAATGATGTTCTTGAAATATACAGCTGAACAACTTGAATGGTTAGGAACTTCTGAGACTAGCCTGCAGATTTCAGTAGGCTGCCAGATCATAGTTATCCAAATACCGACAGTCTGTTTTTCTCGTACGGGGCTGAGCTCATCAACCTCATGCCCGGACAAATTCAACCAAGAGAGCCAAATTAGTTCAGATCATCTGAATTTGACTAGCTGGATTGCATGAACCAGTACACCTTTAACAAACGATTTACAAACTGGACGGTCCGGGATGAAAAACTTCTCAGTTGTGAAAAATGTCAGTCTCCTATGTTATTTGTAAATCCTCTGAACATTCTTGCTACTATTCATTGGCAAAGTTTTCGCCTCAGTCTTAAACTACTTGCATGCACATAAAGTATATTACCTGTCAATTTGACTTTGTTTTCTTGTTTCACTTAAACAAACCTTTCAGTTCTCAACTAAAACAACTGAATAGCTATATGAGTGCACTTCTACAGAAAAAACAAATGTAAGCAAATATTGATTTCTTTTCATATAATTTAAGAAATGGTTCTTTACTCTGATTGGCTAATATGTTCTATTAGAATCCTTCTGATTACACAGTACCTGAGATCATTTATATGCTGAAATCATGAAATTCTCAAAAAGACTTCGGAATTTACCATTACTTTCTTTAAACAGACTACATCGTACCCTAATATACGGTCCGAACAAGAAATGCGCACCATGTCTTATATTTTTGTTGTTGACAATAATTATATACTTCTTTCTTACTAGGATGATATTTAGTTTTTTGAGTAAAGATGTTGTTGTTCCAGCAGCGATATTTATTCCAAAAACAACTTTGTCATCAATATCAACAACAACAGCATCCCAGCACTATCCTACCAATCTTGCAACTCATAGTGGAACTCCTTATGAAATTCACTCGACAACACCGAAAACTGCTCAAATTCAGAAGGTTAAGACAACAGAAAATCAATACATAGCAACCTTCAATTCAAGCCCTCCAAAGCGTCCAAACTTTCATGTCAATATCCCGAAACAGAACAGAATTACTCTGAAGAATCTCTTCCCACCACTATATCCTAACAGTTCATTTTGCTTAAAGAAAACCAGGTTCTATATTGACGATAAAAAGGTTAACTTAAAGACAGATGAAGGGATTATAAACTTAATTGATGCATTAACGCCATCCCTGAATATGAATATATGGTCAAAAATTGAGCCATATATTTGTCAGTCTAGTAAAACAAATCTTTTAATCATTACATTTTCTCCAAGTGGAAGTTATTCAGTTCGAAATAAAATTCGTCAAACATGGGGTTCAGTTAAATATATCTTGAGTGAAACTACAAATGAACAATATCCTAATGGGTTGAAAATCATTGAACATTTATTCATTGTTAATATCAGTAAATCAAGAACGGTGCAAAATTCAGTGGAATTTCCAAAACTTATAAATGAAGCTGAGAAAGAAAGAGATATTCTACCACTACCCTTAACAGGTTTACAGAATAATTACGCAAGTCTACACATTTTAGCCAGTGAATTCTTATTGCACCATTGTAAAAAGGCAGTAGACTTTGTTTTATTTATTAACGAGGACTTATTTCCAAATTTGAATGCTTTAGTTCAGTATACAACTTCAAAAAGTTACAGTTGCAGTCGAATTCATTAAAACACAATAATCCACGTATCTATTGCATACCGATTGAAAAGAAACACGTTGAATACAAACCGCATTTACGTTATGACTCTAAGAATAAGTTATCTGAATGGATTGGTAAACTGTACCCCACTCATTGTGATATTGAAGCTAGTGGGTTTTTAATGTTGTTCGAAACACTGAAACGATGGTACACATGTGCTCGTATCTATAAACCATTCAATCCTATAAGTATCTATCTAACTGGCTTATTAAGCCATGCTGCAAAAATTGAGATTGAAAGTTATTGGACAAATTACTGGTCGACAGGTTACCTTCTACCAAGTATGGCGTTGAATAAAAAGAGCAAAAGATATTTATTTTTCAAGGGATCTGTTAATCAAAGTAACAGAGTATGGAAGAGTGTGTTTCGTGCAATATTAGGTCAGTAAATCAATATAGTTAAATTCTTTCCTATGGGAAATTTATGCATTTCTTTCATGTGATACGACTATGTATTTTGAAATCTTCATAAAATGGATGTGATTTGTATTTTCCGGCAAGAAGTACATTTTATTGAAACTGTTTAACCCTTTTAAAAACTTGCTTACTGTAAATTTTGAAGAATTTATTAGAAGGGAGCAAGTTATTTCTGTTTTTCGAGAATATATATGATTATTATCAGCCCTAACTCAAATCTGTAAAATCTGTGACCTGAAAACTTAAATCACTTTTATGGTAATGACTGGAAGGAGTGCTTTAGGCCGTTTAGTTATTCAACTGTGGTATTGGGTTTTTGAACATGGTGGATGCTACCTTTGATTTGGTTGATTTATTGTTCGCTGAAGGTTTGTTTTATATTTGCTTTGGCATATTAACGAAGTGAGGTTGAATTGACAGACGTACAGCGGTTCAAGAGGAGGAGTTAGAAAACATTTCTTTAGTAGTCATGACTACTCTAGATTTCTGGTAGTACTGAGTTTACAGTATACAAGTTTTACTGGTGAGCACTTTACTGATGAGGAGTAATTGGTATTTTATAACTTTGGCCATCATTTAATATAGCCCAAATGTCGTGAAACATGGTCAGTCAAAGCTCAAAAATTGCATTTGTGGTAATCAAATCCAGTTTCTTGATAACACTTTCTATATTCCTCGTGGTATCTACGTGTCATCGATTCAGTATTATGATAGGTTAAAGTCTAGCTTCATTGAGGATTCCCAAGCCATGATGAAACAGCTTTTCAGATCGTCAATAACTACTCAAATATCGTCTTCTCACCCTTTGATTTCCCCTATGGAATCGGGTTTTTCTAATTGCTATATACCAATGAAAGCGTCAGCTTATTGAAGACTTAATGAAAATAATTCAGTATTTCTTCTAAAACAGACAAATTTCACTCTCTGTCTTAATGACATAATCTGCCAATTGGAAGGAAGTTATTGATGCATAATCTCACAACTTTTAAAACAGTATATCAGTAAGATGAGTACTTTTTACCGTTTCACCCCATGGTTTTTTGGTTGTTCTGTTAGTAACAATAAACTCTCCACCCACCCACCCCCTCATGCTAGTGATGAATAAAAAATCGAAATGACAGATTTTTTAACAAAATAATCAAAGATGAATAGAGCGCATCTCTGAACCGTTTGGTATCGCCGTAGTTGTTTGGAGACTTGTCCTTACATCTTTCATCTCATTTTAAGATAGTAATAATCACATATTGATGTCAGTTGGAAAACTATTGAAAATAGGGGCACACTAAACAGTTGTTTCATCCTAGTATCGCACTCCTTAACAGTAGGAACTCATGATCCCATTACTAATCGAACTCTAAACCTTAAGGTCCCACGGTGAACGCGCTAACCATCCAGCCACTGGGTCCATGATAAATACTGCCTTAAAAATGAAATCCCTATAATTCTCAAACTACATTACTGTATAGTACTCATTAATGACATCCTTCTAGGTGGATAACCTGAAGTTTCAATGAAAAGCTGTGAACTGTGTGGTCAACTAGTTGAAGTGAAACGGATGCCGACTGAAGACCTTGGTGGATAGTTGCACTATATCAAGAATTGACAGAAGTAGGAAACTGTGAATCAATGAATATCTACGCGATGACTGAATGGTTGACGCGTTCGTCGTGAAACCTGATGATCCTTAGTTCGATCAGTAGTGGGATCATGGGTCCCCGATGCTGAGGAGTCCCACACTAGGATGAAACAGATGGGCAGTGCTCCCAAGTTTTCAATGGTTCTCCAGCATATATGAGTTCATGGTGAATACTATCTGATCTGGCGGTCTGCTTAAACTCTGGGCTACCGATAATTCTAGACGGAATTTATTTCATCAAATCTATCTCTCTAATTTATTTTAATCCTATAAGTGTCTTTTAAACACATCAAATACTCTGGTGCACTTTTAAAATGGTTTCAAATTGACGTTTTTCAAGCTAATAGCAAAACAAAGAATAAACGACACATCGGTAAGAGATCGGCTTATAAATGCAAAAAAATACACTGTTGGTACCGGATGAATAAACTATTACTATTAAAATCACCTTCGAGATTCTGTTCATTCACTAGTCCAAATCAGACGCTAATGTAATACAAGGTGTCTGTTTTACACTGTTGCTTTAATTGCTGTTGTTATTAACATTATTCAAATGCAGCGATTGCTTTGCTTAAAGATATTATACAGAGAATGGATTTGTTGAATAATTACGTAGTGAGAATCTCATACTGTACCACAAGTCTTGTTTGGAATAAAGCCATTATTATTGTTACTACTAAGATGAAATTCCTGAATAGACAATTAGTAAAAAGGATTAATATTTCGTAATTTTAATATTTAGTGCTGCGTTCTCTGAGGCAGTCGATAAGAAGTTTTACTTCATCTCAATTTCTTGTCTATTAGCGTATTATTAGTGTAATTTAAACATGTTGAAATTCACTACCGGTATCTTGCTTGCTGCCATACAAGCTCAGTATGGGATTCTGGATTAAAAATATCAAAATAAATAAATTACGCACAGGATTACCCATTCCATACACTTGCAGCGATATGGATATTTTACTATTACGTAAATATTAATCAGCTCTACTAAAGTGGATGTACTCTAGTACTTCCTCAATCGATACCTTACCTAACGTGTTAGTACTGACAATGAAACACAAATCAAAACGACTGTTATTCAGCAATATACTCAAAGAAGCAATATATTTAAATAGAATAAAGACGAAGGTGATTTTTAGGGAGATGTTTATCCAGGTTATTTGGATATCATGACTAATCTAGGGACTCTGAGGCTGTGCGTGTTAACCAATACAAAAGGAGCGCAAGATGGCGTCAAAACCTGCTCGGATGTCTGCTCATTTAAACAAAACATAAAACACCCTAAGCATCTGGAGACGAGCTAGAAGTTTATTCGGTTAATATTTGGTGAATACAATTTAATCCATTTATTTCGGCCCTACATGCATTTTTCTACCAGGAAGGTGCTCAACATACTGTTTGAACGAAGTAATGACCACTAACTTCAGTCACGTTATGTAAGGCTTACATTGACAACACACTGGATACTGGCATTGGATTTAAGCAGCTAATGAATTTAAATTGAACTCAGAGTTTGAACTTATCTCTGTCATTGGCGTGTGCGAACCACATTAATGTTGAATCTGAAGTATTACTGATTTTTTCTGAAGATATACCAAGGAAGATAAGAGAAGGATGAAAATGCATCCATCTCTGAACTTATTAGAGTGTAGTTATCGTGCATATAGATATCGTGAAGATGTAAAAGAAAAAATTTCAGATATTGGTATGATCTCATAGCTAATTCAGAGAGAAATCCTGAAAGTAGGATTTATACTTGATTTGTAAAGTACACTTGAAACCTCAAGAAAACTCATACTTTCTCAGAAATTCAGATGAACTTCACTTTGTGTAACATTGTGACACATCATGCTAAAGAGATACTCGCTAGAGAGTAAATACTGTTATTACTTCTGTGAGTTATTCAGTGCTGACATCTTGTTTGATTCGGCCATCAGTTAAGTTCATATGTGTGCAGATGCATATGAGATAGAAATCATCGCCATTTATATAATGACAATGAGAACACGTCTTGAGCTGTTTATGCCTAATTTATGCATTGATTTATAAGTGACATTTAGCAGTTGCTCAAGAGGAAAAAAAGAGGATTTCAACTATAAGTCCTAAAAATCACGACCGTAAAATGCTTTTCAACTCAGTTTAGTCAGTTTTAGTCGCTGGAAGTCAGAAAATTTGGGTCTTTGGACAGGTTAATGTCAACGTATCACTCACTAGATTAGTCACTCTATCCAAGCTGCTAAGTGACAGAAGTTTTGGACTTGTTTCAAATCTGAAAACACTCGACTCATGATCACAAAATATTATTATTTCATTTTACAAGAAGTTCCTTAACAACCACTGATCATATTCCTAACCATTAGAGTCTTTTATCACTATTCGTTTGATTGCTGAGTGTTTATAAAGGCAATAAGTTTATGGGTAACAACTTACACTTTGAAAGTTTGTGCAGTACAGAATGTCTTCAGTTGAAGACTTTTTGAAAGCCTACAATCAGTTGACTGTCATATGTTTTATTCCAGCTTGGAGTTTATTAACTCTGAACACCTTCAGCCCCACATTTAACAAGTCTGTTATTATTCATGGTCTGCATTTTCCTACTGCAGCTAATTAAGGATAAACTGGACTATCGTTTAATGTCATCAGCAAATGTCCATCTACACTGTCGACTTCAAGATTTTGTAGATTTGATAACTATGATAACACAATATTGTAGTTAGTATGAATTTAAAAATTCTGAAACACTGAGCTTTGACTCGAGCGCCTCACTATTCAAGAATCCTAATATCCATATAACTTATGATCAACTATGAAAAGTTGAAGGGTTTCGAGGCAGGTTGATATACTGACTTCCAGTAGTTCCTCAAGTAATATGATGTGCTGATGAAAGAAATCGTCACAGTATTCCATTGCTGAAAATCAGCTGGGGAAATAAACTCATATGCTGTTAAGAATGCGTACTTGTTAATATGAAGACTTAGGACCTATTAAGTAGTTTGCTTTGTACTATATGAAGAAATCCGGCTTTAGGTGGTGTACCCTGTACTAAGTATAATGAATAATCATGTGACTGAATTAGAAATATTTGATAATGAAGATGTGAAATAAAATGTTAGTGTTATCTCCTTTGCCCCACAACCAATTAGTCTATTAGTCGCCTTAGAAGTCTTCTTTTTGATATTCTTCATCTTTGAATAACATTTCAGAATGAGGATAGACAAGTAGATAAACAGACAGACTGACAGACTGACTGACTGACGGACTGACCGAATGAATGAATGAATGGATAAATGACAGTGTAGAACCTGACACAGAAGTGAACCGGTTCACTTTACC